TTTCCCTACCCACTAGTAGGATTCATTATTTATCTCTGCACAAGGTTTAAAAAGACACAGAGACATTTCTCTTTAGTCCTGATTGAGACTCTTCATATTGGTGCTCCTCTTCTTGGGCTTCGGAATCCGAAACCTCTCGCTGGGAATCTCAGCTCCATTGCCATTTAATAATTTCACGTTCATGTCTCCCTACAAGGTACTAACATCTAGGACTTGGTCTCTTCATCTAGAAATTGGAGATGGCATTACCTACTTTAGGATGTTGTGTGGGTAAAGTGAGAGAATGTGTTTCACATGGCAGACAATGGTCATGCAGCGACCGTGTTTAAGATGCACAATGTGGCCGCATTGTCTGCCTCAGATTCCAGCTCTACCATCTACTACCTGTCTGAACTCCTGCAGGTTGCTTAGTCTCTCTGTGGCTTACATCTTTTATCTTGTAAAATGGGTACAACCATCAGTCCTACCTCGGTGTAATTGTGAGGATGAAATGGATGTTAAGTGTTTATAACAGTGCTTGGAATGTCCTAAGAGTAATTTATATGAGCGATGGTATTTTTAAATTTTTTATTTTTTCAACTCTGTCTCTATACCCTCTAATGCTCATCTTTTGGAAACTGCAGTTGCCACTAAAAAGCCTGTGCTATTTACAGAACCTCTGTTGCCTTTTCTCCAATAAATGGGTTATTGAAGAAATCCAAAATGGGTACTTTAGGTTTTAAAAACTTCATGCCAAATTCATTTCTTTTTGAAAAGTGTCTGTAAATTACTTGTAGATTTGACCCAGTGTTTTAACTTCTTTATTGACCATGTAATTGAACCTGATAATGACCGTGTTTGAATCATGAAATTGAATTGTAACACATGCCAATCTATTCTTTTTTCATTTTTACTTTATTGAGTATCTGTGGGTAGATTCAATTAAGAGAACATTCACTTTGACTAAAGAGAAAAGCTAATCAAAATAGCCCAGAAAAACATGCTATTGCTTGCATACTATATTTTACGTGTTTCTATTGCATGGACCTCTTCGTTTTTTATTCTCTTATTAAATATGTCTATATACAGCCGTGTGTGCATACATGTATTAAACTGATAATCAGTGAAAGTCTACATTTAGCTTTAGAATGTGAAGTAAGCAAATTGCCATTATCCTCCTGGACTTTTTGAAGGGAAAAATAAGAGAAGTACAATTTAAAATGATAAATAAGCTGTAGTCATGGGCTATATTTAGGCTTACTATTGTAATTCATACCTAGGTTGGTCAAATGGATCTCTCCAGCAAGGAAAAGCAGAATTTGAATTATGTTCAAATCAGGATTATCTCTTGTTCCCCAATGCCAGTTTTCCTGGAAAGTGGTGAGGGACCATAGCAAGGCTGTTTTGTCATATACTAAGGTCACATAGACTAGTGATTCCTAATTTCGGTATTAACACATCAGAAAAAAATTTAATGGGGCTAAGTTTAAGTTGGCTTTTATGTTTAATTTTTTAATGCAGTCGTTGTTACGATATGATTTTTCAGTACATGAGCACAATGCCTAGTGTTTAAATCAGGATTATTAATGTAGCCATCAGTTCAAAACACTAGACATTGTTACTTTTATCTATCTGTAATTTTGTTTTCTTTAATCAACATCCTTATG